TTCCCCAGACATTCTCTCTCTCTCTCTCTCTCTCTCTCTCTCTCTCTCTCTCTCTCTCTCTCTCTCTCTCTCTCTCTCTCTCTCTCTCTCTCTCTTTCACTCTCTTTCACTCTCTCTCTCTTTCCCTCTCTTTCTCTCCTTGGAGCAGCACTAGCAGAGTGGAATGAGGACAGATAGTGTTGAATTCTAGCCATGCCTATCTCCATTACACCCCTAGGGAATACTACAGTCTCTAACAGTCTCATTATTTTAGCATTATCTGATCTACAGTACCAGTCAAAAGTTTGGACACACCTACTCATTCCAGGGTTTTTCTTTATTTTTTACTATTTCCTACATTGTAGACTAATAGTGAAGACATCAAAACTATGAAATAACACATATGGAATCATGTAGTAACCGAAAAAGTGTTAAACAAATCAAAATATATTTTAGATTTTAGATTCTTCAAAGTAGCCACCCTTTGCCTTGATGACAGCTTTGCACACTCTTGGCATTCTCTCAACCAGCTTCATGAGGAATGCTTTTCCAACCAGATTCATGAGGTAGTCACCTGGAATGCATTTCAATTAACAGGTTTGTGGAATTTATTTCCTTCTTAATGCATTTGAGGCAATCAGTTGTGTTGTGACAAGGTAGGGGTGGTATACAGAAGATAGCCCTATTTGGTAAAAGACCAAGTCCATATTAACAGCTCAAATAATCAAAGAGAAACCCATCATTACTTTAAGACATGAAGGTCAGTCAATCTGGAAAATTTCAAGAACTTTGAAAGTTTCTTCAAGTGCAGTTGCATAAACCATCAAGCGCTATGATGAATCTGGCTCTCATGAGGACCGCCACAGAAAAGGAAGACCCAGAGTTACCTCTGCTGCAGAGAATAAGTTCATTAGAGTTAATTGCGCCTCAGATTGCAGTCCAAATAAATGCTTCACAGAGTTCAAGTAACAGACACATCTCAACTGTTCAGAGGACACTGCGTGAATCAGGCTTTCAAGGTCAAATTGCTGTAAAAAAACCACTACTAAAGGACACCAATAATCAGAAGAGACTTGCTTGGGCCAAGATACACGAGCAATGGACATTAGACCGGTGGAAATCTGTCCTTTGGTCTGATGATTCCAAATTTGAGATTTTTGGTTGCAACCGCCGTGTCTTTGTGAGATGCCGAGTAGCTGAACGGATGATCTCCGCATGTGTGGTTCCCACCGTGAAGCATGGAGGAGGAGGTGTGATGGTGTGGGGATGCTTTGCTTGTGACACTGTCAGTGATTTATTTAGAATTCAAGGCACACTTAACCAGCATAGCTACCATAGCATTCTGCAGTGATACGCCATCCCATCTGGTTTGCGCTTAGTGGGACTATCATTTGTTTTTCAACAGAACAACGGCCCAAAACACACCTCCAGGCTGTGTAAGGGCTATTTGATCCAGAAGGAGAGTGATGGAATGCTGCATCAGATGACCTGGCCTCCACAATCAGCCGACCTCAACCCAATTGAGATGGTTTGGGATGTGTTGGACCACAGAGTGAAGGAAAAGCAGCCAACAAGTGCTCAGCATATGTGGGAACTCCTTCAAGACTTTTGGAAAAGCATTCCTCATGAAGCTGGTTGAGAGAATGCCAAGAGTGTGCAAAGCTGTCATCAAGGCAAAGGGTGGCTACTTTGAAGAATATATAATCTAAAATATATTTTGATTTGTTTAACCATTTTTTGGTTCCTACATGATTCCATATGTGTTATTTCATAGTTTTGATATCTTCACTATTATTCTACAATGTAGAAAATAGTAAAAAATAAATAAAAACCCTTGAATGAGTAGGTGTGTCCAAACTTTTGACTGGTACTGTATGATATAGAGATGGAATGAGATAGATTGAGCCAGTCCATTTTAGAAAATCAGTCTATTAGGTTGGTCGGTCACGAGAAAATGTGCTTATGTTTGCTGATTGAAAGAGGATAAGGGAGAGCACAAAACAGTACAGCCTGCAAAGAAGGACTGCAGTTTTGTACGTAGCACCAGTAGCAATGTAGCTGGTCCCAGATCTGTAAATGTATAAAGTGTAAACAGATGTGGGACCAGGCTAGTAGCAATGATCTTTGGAGCTCAAATGTTTTGGTCCAAAGTGAGAAGATGGGAAGATAGGGAAGTGGGTGTAGTTTATTAGGAATGGTGATTCGATACTCGTTAAGTTCTGTTTTTGAAAATGTAGATATAGCGTGAGTAGACTTACGTTGCTGATCTGGTCTTGTGTTTTCTTCACTCTCTGCATCTCCGGTGTGTCGGCCACCACGCTGAAGCCTTTCCCCTTGTTCTTCTCAAACTCCTCTTTGTACAGCGCCTGGCACACGCAAACGCATGTACGCACACACACACACAAACACACACATACACAGGTTTACATAAAACCTCACATACTAACAACATTTCTTCATTTGCTGTATGTCATACAGTCACAGAAACATATGAACACATGACACATAAGCCATTACACTTCAGTAGAAGGGCTGAAATCGAAATACTGTACTACAATTATAACATTAATGATGACGATAGTGTTGATTGGGCAATGCATGCATGTTAAATATACTTTTTCCTCGTCTATTCTCCGTGAACCCTCCATATTCCAGAACGAAATTGCGCACATCCACGAAGAACTACATTCCCTAAATGCTCACCACGATGCCTAGATCCGTTCACCAGTTTTCTTTCACGAAGATAGGTTTTAAAATGAGCATTCTGCCATAGACAACTATTGAACAGACATTAAAGAAATCCAACAAAGTTGTCAATAGTGACACTCGAATCACAGAGAAAGATTAATTATGCCTGTCACGACTTCCGCCGAGGCTGCCTCCCCTCCTTGTTCGGGCAGGCTTCGGCGTTCGTCGTCACCGGCTTACTAGCCACTGCCGCTCCATTATTCATCATTCCATTTGTCTTGTCTTGTCAATCACACACACATGGTTCTTATCCCCTCATATGTAAAATTTAGGGCAGGGGTGCTCATTTTAATTTCCTGTCTTTTTTGGCTATTGCCAAATATGTCACATAAAAATGTTTTTGAAGTTTTTGTATTTAATTGACCTACTGTTTTTGGTGAACACAGGAAATACTGCAAATGCCTTTTCGAAGTTTGTTGTGAGAGTCTCAATACATTTTGCAGTTATTTTAAACTCAGAAATAATGTCACCCTCCTACACAGTACAGTAAGTAGCTTACCACACATAGACGAGCAGTTCATTAGAGTACCTAAACTTAGCACTTAAATAGCCACAGGTCTATGAGGTTTGCTGAGCACGCAAAGTTGCCATCAACTCAATCCAGTCACCATTCACAAAAATAAAACTAAAAGCTGATAAAAAAGACATGTGGAGAAGACGTTTCCCCAACAAACTGTCACTCTCACAACTTATAGGCAGCTAATGTTACTTTGCTTGCCAATCCGTAACTCCCTAAGCTTGTTACTTTGTGGAAATACAAGTCTTTCTCTTGCATAGAGCAGCAGTGGCCCCTACAGTGTGGCCTGGTGTAACATGAGAATGTTACTTGTTGCAAAAACATGATTTTGAAATCACCAGAACAGACTATTTGCAAGCTTACTTTATCGGGTACAGATAAAGAACAGCCAAGTAAACAAGACAGAAATACTTGGAGCTTTCTGTGTGCAGTGGACAATGTCAGCCTATGTTTATAGCCTTACTAGTCTGATGCATTCAACACCATTCATGGGTGATTATGACAGATTAAGGTTTAATAATAGTTTCAATAATTGCTGTTTATGCTAAATAATAAGAGTTGACGACAATGGGCAAGAGTCCTAACTAACTTTCACTTTCATGTCCAAGGACAATTGTAGAGGGTTTTAAGGGGTTCAAACCAAATGTGGAAATGTAAAGAGCAGAATTCACGAAGGCCAAAACTTTGTGACCAGAACAAACCACCCCGTCTGGCCCCCGTCCCACCCCCCAGGACGCCTCTTCCCCATAGCTAAACAACCGTATAACGTTCTGCGCATGTGTTACTTTACACACAATATTTCTTACGCAGCTACTGCTCCCCCTCCCCCTCCCCCTCCCTTCATGATGTGTAACTACTGTTTCTGAGCTAATTTTAGAGCAGATGGTGCGAATAAGCCTACCTGTATTTTTTTTCTTCAATCAAAGCACATATAGTGACACACGCTGTTGAGTTTTGGCCGCATGATAATTTTTTAAGACCATTCCGCACGTGAGTACAATCACCTTAAAATCTCATAAGAAATTACCTGGTGTAACAGTAATGTTATACTATGCTATTACATCGATCTGTTATGCAGAATATCTATTAATCATTAAGTGATCTTGTGAGACATTGATGAAACTTTATTAAATGAGCACCATTCTGAGACGTGGCAGAGCGTCGCTCCGGTGCGTTGAGGCAGCACTACACCCCTGCCTACATGACAAAAACATACCTAGCCTACATCTACACATTGCATTAGGACAAAACAATCTGCGTTTAACCATAAATAACACACAACTGTTATTTAGCTTCTCAATGATCATGCAACACCGCATGATTTGATGGACAGACAGCAAATCATTGAAATTCGCCAGAGTAGCCTACTGCTCCATCTCTGGGCAGCTGAACCGTGTGTAAACAGTATCCAGAGTTTAACAACATGCCTGTCAATTTATTAATGGGGCAGTGTAGTCAAAAACGTAATTTTCCAGTTTTTTTAATGATATTTCCATACTATGAGGTCGAAATAACACTCTGAAATTGTGAAAATTATAATAATAATAATAATGCCCTTTTTGTGTAAGAGCTATTTGAAAGAAATGGTTGTAATTTCAGCCTGTTCAGGTGGCATGGAGTTTTTGGCCCAGATCATGTCATCACAATCTGGTACTGTATGATTATATTTTTATTCAAACCACCCGCAGGCCGGATTGGACCCCCAATGTGTGTGGGCGGTAAGTTCGATTTGTGTGGGTAATCATGCCATTTATAGTTAGGCCTACAACAGACAAAGAAGTTTGTACAACATGTGTTGGGCTGTAACAGACAAAGACGTCTGATCATTGCCGGGGGGTGAGTGAGATTTGGAAGGGAGGGGGAAGCAGCAGCGGAGATACTGGAGCTATATAAAAACAGTTGTATAAAGTATAACATGCGCAGAAGGTTGTTTAGCTATCGGGAAGAGGCATCCAGAGAGTCTGGTCACACAGCCAATATGCCTCACTGGATTCTGGAACTCCACAACCTTTTGGTAAAATAAACCAATGGTGACTCCATACCGTTGCCTCCGCTCTAATAATTGTAAGGTTGCCCATGGAAGCGTCTTCCCCAGACCTGACGATCCGAATCACATTCTGCGCATGTGTTTCTTTACCCCTACTTTGCACACACATTTTTGTGGTCACCCTCCCTTCACATTTCTAACTGTCAATCATGAATGATAATTCTTCAAGTTTTACCGGTGAAACGTCTATGCAGCAGCTGCATGTCAACCATTTGATCTCAATCATTTTCATGGGAATATGCATTTAGATCTTCTTGAGTTATGTACAGTGTCGTTTTGAGGTACAGTGTTGTTTTGAATGATGTACAGTGAGTGGATTTTAGAGCAGAAGATGTTAACAAACTGTAGCATACCTGTGTTTTGCCTAGTGGTGCGTAGGGCTGTAGCAGTCATAATATTTTGTCAGCTGGTTATTTAATGCAAAAGTCTGCTGGTCTCACGGTAATTGACCATTAATGAACATAAACAAGTTTAGCTGCATACAAACCACTGATGTGCACCTTTGGAACATCTACATTTAAAAAAAAGTCTAATTAATCAATTTAATATACACCATCACAATAAATCCATTATTTATTTTAGTCAGGTCTAAAGAAACATGATATGAAGAAAATGTATTTCAGAAGAACAGAATATGAGTTGGCCTAATGTATGTTATCTGGCAATGCTCCATGCCATAGGCTGTAGGCTTGTTAATTTAGCTGACAAGATATATCCTGTGCCATTATATATATTATATGATTTTATAGTAAGAAGAATATAATTTAACTTAGCTGAATAAAATAGAAAGGATATTTTTCCCATTCCGGAGCGAGGGCGCATATGAAGTGGCTATGTTGAGCGTAAACGTGATCATTTGAAACAGGTCCTATACGCTAGATTTAGAGTTATTTGGCAACTTTATTGTGCATGGTACAAACTATAGAATGTCTTAGAAATCAAAACATACATGGGGTGCATGATGCGACCATAGGCTCTTGATGATTTGAGAAAGTCGCAAAAAAAGCTTGCCTCACACTCATCAAGTGATAATATTCTTTACCCATCAGAAAATTCTTAATTTAATGTTGTCTTTATTAATATGTAAAATTAGTTTAGATTTAGAATGGCCCATTATCAAATGGGCAGGAACAGGGGCAGGGGAAAAAGACATGTCGTCCGTATGCACTCGAATAGCGAATGGAGGCAGTTACTATCGATTTGGGAACATCGATAGTAACATGTTTTCGCAACGAAACATATTTCACTAAACCAGTGCTTCTCAATTATTTTCTGTTACGCCCCCCCTAGGAAGAAGTAAACATTTCGCGCCCCCCAACTCTCCGCCGCGACTGTAAATAGTATAATTTGTCTATAAAATTGTTATAAGTACACCTCTGCATAACATTGTATCCTTATTAACATTAAAGAAAAGAAAAAAAGAAAAAAGAAAGAAATATAGATCAACTTACAACAAAGAATAACTTTATTAACATTGTTTTTTAGTCTGTAACAGAAAATACATAAAGTGCATCAATTTGCCTGAAATGTAAAAAAAAATTATATCCTTATTTAAACTGTAAAATTTTTTTGACCATTTGATACTGAAAAATAAAATAAAATATAATCAATAAATAATAATACATTCAAATTGATCAGCAACATTCACTCAGGAGCACAATATATGAAACACTTTGACCTATAAAACAAAAATGAATAAAACAATTTGGGCTGATTTTTTTTAAATAAAAATGAGGAAGTCAGGATTAATGGCTACAATGAGCACGTTTTGCAGTGCACAGCTTTTTGAAGCGGGGTTTGAAGCATGATACTGCAACTCTCAGCTCCTGCTCAATGTTTAGCTGGGACCTGTACTTGGTCTTCAGTGCAGCAACAGCAGAGAAGCCAGTCTCACAAAGATAAGATGTTGCAAAAGGAAGAAGAATGCCCATGGCCCTCTGCCCTAAGAGTGGATACTGCCTCTCTACACTCAGCCAGAATTCACTCAGTGTCTGTGATGTGAACCTCAGTCTCAATGTGGAGTCAGACGTCATATCAATGAACTGGTCCTCCTCTGCAGAGCTGAAACCAGTTGGAGCTGGTGCATTGAAAGGATCTCTCACCCAGTCATATTGGGAACTGTTTTCAGGGAAGTACTTTTTAAAGAATCCCATCAGTGATGAAATATGCTCCTTAATATATGGAATCACTGAGGTGGCATCATAGTCAGTAGTGTCAACAAATTCATGCAGGTTCTCGAATGAATCAGTATTTCCTTCATCAAGTCGCCTGCCCCACATTGCAAGCTTTCGAGTGAAAGAGCTGATCTTGTCTGTGACCTGAGGGAGGTGTTTATCTTTCCCTTCATTTAGCTTTCCAAATATGTCACTCAGGTAGGCCAGTTTTGCCAGGAAGTTCTCATTACTAAATTTTTCTGCGAGGTCATACTTGTGCTCCTGCTCCGAAAAACATTCTTATCTGCTCTCTGAGCTCAAAAACTCGGGACAAGACTTTTCCTCGTGACAGCCACCTTGCTTCACTGTGAAACAGCACAGCTTGATGTTCAGCTGAGAAGACTCTTGTTTTTAGTGGTCTGGTCTTTATAAAATTGACTACACCTTCAATGTCAGTCATAACCTCACTTAATTCAGAGGAAAGGTGCCTTGATGCCAGTGCTTCTCTGTGTATAACACAGTGTGTCCACTCAGCATTAGGTGAGGCCTTCTTGATGAGTGCCCAAAGTCCTTTTCTCATCCCTGCCATGGTCTGTGCACCATCACTGCAAACACCAATGCAGTTCTCCCACTATAGCCCATTCTCAGTCAGGAAGCAGTCCAGCATTTTGAATAGCTCTTCAGCTGTGGCTCTATCTCTGACATATTTACAAAAAAGTAGATCCTCACACAGGGAGTTTGTCATGTCAAAACGTACATAAGCGATAAACAAACAGTTGCTTCATCGAACTGTAAGGCAAAACGTTTGTCTTTGAGTTTATCTACCAGCTGTAAGATCGTTAGCAATGTCATTTGTACGTCTGGCGACAGTGTCATTGGACAGAGGGATAGTTTTTATTTTTGCAGCACTTGCGTCATCCAGCATGACAGAGACCATGTCTAATGCTGCAGGCAGTATCAGCTCCTCTGCTATGGAGTGGGGTGAGCAATTTGGTATGCCACCTTATATGATGCTAACAGTGCTCGCTGGTTTACTGAAGTAGCATTCACAAAGTTTGTTGGCAATATTTGGCACGTTTTCGCTGAAAAAACTCAAGCGGCTTATCAGCGTGATTGGGGTGTAATGTCTTTAAGTGACGCCTTAATTTATTTGGCTTCATGCTGTCCGCTGCCAACATTTTTAGACACAGTAAACATACCGGTCTTTCCTCGTCTCCCACCGTAGTCACAGTGAAGCCAAGCGCTACATACGCTTCGTCATATTTCCTCCTCTTAGCTTTCGGGAGACTTACGTTTGTCTCATTATCTCCGTCTCTCTCCGCCTTCCTTTTCATCCCTGTTAAATATTTTTCCATGGTGTCTCTTAAGGGTTTATTATCTGCACTTTATATCTCCTGCTCTGTGCTGTGTGCTCTTGTTCGGTGCAAAAAAAAACTACTCCCTGCGGCAAAAAAAAAACATGTTCCCCGGGGTCCCCTGGCATCGCTCCGAGCCCCCCCAGGGGGGCGCGCCCCACTATTTGAGAAGGACTGCACTAAACTGTTGACAGCCCCTCTATGCGCTTGAGAAAGGAATAAAGCAGAGAGAGGAGGAGATGGAAACGCATGGTGGTGAGATATTCTGTAGTTAAAGGTAATGTGTCACCCAATTAATTATGAAAATATAAAAAATGCCCTATTACTAGGCTATTCAAAATCAAATACAAATTCACTATAATTGTAGGCTAACTGTAAGCCTTTGGGGCTTGGGCTCATAAGCCTAAGCATATGCATAAGCTCTAATATGTGTATGGATGTTTTGAATTAATCATCACCTTAGAAAGCGCTGTCTTTTTCATTGTGTTAGGCTTTGAACCAACATCCACAATGACCATGTTTTACACTCAGTTTCAACCTGCTGTTGAACTTCTTTCTTCAAATTGATCATCACAGTGAGGTGAGTTTTAAAAGCATGATACAGATTATTTTTTGATAAGTGTTTGATGATTTATGATTGCATTTGCATTGATGTCAGAGTGGTTAGAGGGACAATAGAGCCCTGAGTACCACCGGGCCATTAGGACCTGATGGTCGTTAGCAAGTTGGGTACTACCAAAGCATGTCCTGAGTGCATAAAAGGAGATTACATTTTAGCAGACGCTCTTATCCAGAGCGACTTACAGTTAGTGCATACATAATTTTTTATACCCCCCGTGGGAATCGAACCCACAACCCTGGCGTTGCAAACACCATGCTCTACCAACTGAGCTACATCCCTGCCGGCCATTCCCTCCCCTACCCTGGACAACTTGTGCGCCACCCCATGGGTCTCCCGGTCGCAGCCAGTTACGACAGAGTCTGGATTTGAACCAGGATCTCTAGTGGCACAGCTAGCACTGCGATGCAGTGCCTTAGACCACTGCGCCACTCGGGAGATAGTGATTACAGTGACTCAACGGTCACATGGAATTTTACTGCGGTCATGACTCATGACTGCCGGTGTGGCGTTAATATGGTCACCGCAACAGCCCTACCTAATGGTGCACGCTGTTTACTTTTGGCCGCATAAGAAAAACATTTGATCATTTGCACAATCATCCTAAAATCTCATAACAAATGAGGTGGTGTTTTTTGTCTTACATTAACTTTATACTATGCTATTATATTTGGCTATTTTATGTAGAATACTATAATTAAGTGATCTTGCAGACATTGATTCAGCTTTGATATAACTTTATTAAACGAGCACCATTCTCCATTCATCACTGAGATTCGCCAGAGTAGCCTGTTCTAGGCAGCTGAACGAGTAGAGCAGAAACTGTGCATAAAGTGGAGAATCTGGCACATGCGGAGAAGCTTCAGACTTTTAGCTGTCTGGAAGAATGTTCCAAAGAAATCGGATCCACAGCCACCCCGTAATTTTAAAGCCTCCAACTGCTGGGAGCCACAAGTACTAAAGTCATTAACAACAACCCATAGCAGAGAAGAGAGAACTCCTCCTTGCCACACACACACGCACACACACACAAACACACACACACACACTCAGATGTGAGTCATGTGCTTGCTATGCTATGAGGAATATGCTTTCTCAGTGAGGAATCGCAGGGGTGCATCGACTTTTATGGTTATGGGTTATGAACAATAAAAAGGCCTTGTTTGGGTGAGTGAGAGTGAGGGGGAAAGGACCATACTGTGTTTACAGAAAGTACCCTCATACAATAAGAAGATACTAAACATTTATATAGTTTATCATTACATTAACACATCACTTTTGTCAAACCTTTCCCTAAAGGTTTTACCAAATTGACAGACAAGGCATTTTTTTCACTTAAATGTGAATTGCTAATCTTTGAGATGTGGCTGTATCTACTATCATTAAAGGCCCAGTGCAGTCAAAAACGTGATTTTCCTGTGTTTTATATATTTCCACACTATGTGGTTGGAATAATACTGTGAAATTGTGTATGTGTAAAGGATAAAATAAAAATAATAAATAAATAAAGGATAAAATAAATAAAGGATAAATAAAGGATGATAATGCCCTTTTAGTGTAAGAGCTGTTTGAAAAGGCCACGTTACATTTCTGCCTGTTTTGGTGGGATGGAGTTTTGGCCTGCCTGGTGACATCACCAGGCGGAAAATTAGTTAATATTCCAATAAGAAAGAGAGTTCCAAACATTGCATTAGGAATTAGTAAATTAATAGAATCTATATGTTTCAAAACCTCTCTGCCAATAACAGCTAGTTTTCAGTTTTCACATCCCCACTCCCAGACAGTCCTAGCAAAATTGTTACTTGAGAAATTGCTCTTTGGTAAGAAGCTATTTTTGTTTCTTTTTGACCATTTTAATTGAAAACAACACAGTAAGGTACTTAATTGTTACCCAAAAATGATTTGATATTGAGATAAAAACAGCTGTATTGGACCTTTAACATCTATGGTAGTGGTCAGAATTACATGTAACACTGCCCACTTAATATTTTCGCTAATACTAAACATACTGTACAGCTGTGTGTGCATAGTGGCTGCTAACATAAAAACACACAAAACATACTCCAGTTTCCTAGGAAGAAAGGAGAGATAGGAGGAGAAAGAAAGGAATAGAAAAAGGAACAGATAGTGATAGAGAAAGACAAGTAGAACAGATGGTCTTTAGTGATGGGGGGGGGGGGGTTGACCTTAAAGCTTCAGTCAAATGTTTGATTCACGTTTGACTACCATTTTGTGGCTGTGGGGAGGATTTACTGGTATCAGTGTGGCTAGTAATAGGTTTAGGAGTATTAAATCATCTTGGCACATATGCAGAAACATACATAAAATGTGATGTCATACAACAAGTGAAAAGATAATATCAGCCTGAAATTATGGGTTATTATGCACATGAGATTGTGTATTGGGTTGTGTATTGTCATCTTTGTTCATCGTAATGTACCCTGAGTGTACAAAACATTAAGAACATTTTACATTTTGCAGATGCTCTTATCCAGAGCGACTTACAGTTAGTGAGTGCATACATTTTCATACTGGCCCCCCGTGGGAAACGAACCCACAACCCTGGCGTTGCAAGCGCCAACTGAGCTACAGGGGACTACACCTTCCTAATATTGAGTTGCACCCCCCGGCCCCCGTTTTGCCCTCAGAACAGCCTCAATTAATTGGGGCATGGACTCTACAAGGTGTTGAAAGTGTTCCACAGGTTTGCTTGCCCATGTTGACTCCAATGCTTCCCACAGTTGTGTGAAGTTGGCTGGATGTCCTTTGGGTGGTGGACCATTCTTGAGCATGAAAACTGCCCAGCAGCATTGCAGTTCTTCAAACAAACCGGGGCGCCTGGCACCTACTACCATACCCTGTACAAAGGCACTTACATATTTTGTCTTGCCCATTCACCCTCTGAATGGCACACATACACAATCCATGTCTCAACTGTCTCAAAGTTTAAAAATTGTTATATTGCCTGTCTCCTCCCCTTCATCTACACTGATTGAAGTGGATTTCAATAAGGGATCACATATTTAAACTGAATTCACCTGGTCAGTCTATGTCATTGAAAGAGCAGGTGTTCATAATGTTATGTACACTCAGTACAGTAATTTGCTTAATCTAGTCACTTTGTATCAGAGCTGTGAATAGGAAAGGAAAGCCATTGTGTGCGTTTTAGTTAATTGCCACATGAGAGAATGCATATGTGTGTGCATGCATGTGACTCCATGATCACATTAGCCCCACAGGGGTTCCCAACCTTTTTACAGGGGTTCCCAACCATATTTTACATTTGATAAATTCCTAGAGGCCCTAGGAAATGTTTGCTAATTTAAAGCAGATTTCCTGCAATTTTACATAGTTTAACATGACATCTATTGTTGGGTATGCTATTTCATGGTAATAATGTTGGGGAAAATCAAGTCTAGCTCATTTGAGGTGATTTCCCTACCAAATATGTCGTAATATTGTAATATAAGACATTTTAACCTCTTATTCAGAACACTGTGGACTATCAAAGTAGCCAAATGCTTTATGCTTTTGTGCAGTTTTCAGAAAGTGAATAGCTCAATTGATGGCACCAAATATTTGTGACTCATTTGAAGGTTGTAGCTCAGCCTCTGAATGTCATAGAGACAAACCAAAGATATCCCTATGTGCAACAGGGTCGTGTCTTTCTTGTGCAGTTTACGGTTGTTTCTAGCCTAAAGCATTGCAGAGATATTCATAATTGGTTTATTTAATCAGGATAGTTGTTTTTTTACCCCTCAAATCAAGTAAGGCCCGCAAACCCCCCAGGAAACCTTATCTCAACCCCTAGGTTGGTAACCACTGCAGTAGGGTGTCTGTAGTACCGATGTTGGTAATTGCTGGATCGATAAAGTATGTATTTGTGTGTGCGTGTGTGTGTCCATGGCCTCATTACTAATATGTGAGTTCAAATTGGGCCATGCAAACGTCAATGAAGGGTGTGTGTGTGTCTGTGTGTGTGTGTGTTAGTTTCTAAGGAGGGTAAAGAAGGATCCGTCAGCTGTAGAAGGAATCCAATTGTCATGACAGCGGGGTAGAGAGTTGGGCTCAATCTGTCTCACTGAGTGATGGAGTAAGAGATGGAGATAGAGAGAGGAAAAGAGAGATAGAAGAGGTCATGCCACAGGATTAAAGAAAGATTACCATGGTACCTGGGTAGCAATGACGGGAGGAAAGAGGTTAGAGAGAGGTTACAGTGTGACACCAAGTGGGTATGCGCCCTGCAAGGTAAGGTCTAATGCCAGGATTTAGAAGTCTATCTCAGCACAGAGGACGTGAATCTGGGTTGGCTTCGATTCCCACCCTAAAATAAATTGGTTTCAATTTCAATTTGGTTAAAGAGGCCCTAGATGTTGATTTGAGGGCCTTTGCACTCTTATTAAAACGTATACGGGTATATACACACAGATGGGCCAGTTTCACACAGATAGTGTCCTGGACTACGGTAAAAAAGCATTTTTCAATGGACAATCTCCATTGAAAGTGCTTTGTGCTTTTTAGTCCAGGACTAGGCTTACTCTTTGTCCAGGAAACTGGCCCATAGAGTTCAGTAGTATGTGTGTTCTAACCTGGCTGTTCAACATGCTCTGCTGTTTGAGGCGCAGGTTCTCTGGGGTGTCAATCACGGAGGTGAAGGAGCTCTTCGGGTAGTGCCTGCAACAAAGAGCCAAAGAGAAGAGATATTACAGCAGGATGTGAAGAGACATACACAGGGTAAGTATGTAACTTTTTTCTTCTTCTAGGGTTTTTTTGCCACTGTAAATTGATTTTCAGTGTCATTTTGGGGCCTTTCCAGAGCACTGACCAAATCAAACTTGGGTGGTTGAAGCTAAGGTAATCCATGTTAAGAAGCCCCTCCTAATGCCCCCCTCTGGAGAAGGGTGTCTGCACACAGGTAAAATACATCCTGGATTAGCAGGTAATCCCACCACACACACACTACCGCGAGTACACACATACACACACATGTGCGCACACACAGTGTCTGTATGTCTGTCTGTCTGTCTATCAGTTTGCCAACTGCACCCTGTCATACTTCCTGTGCAAAATCCTTTCTTGGTTCATTTTGTCTAGTCACCATAGGGGAGCGTGGGTGTAAATTTAAGACTTTCTCTCTCTCTCTCTCTCTCTCTCGCTCTGAAAAGCACCTAGCACACAGACAACGTGCTTGCAGTGCCTGCCAGACAGATACAAACATGGACGATAATATCAATGGTATGCTGTGTGAGATACTCACATACTGCAGTAGGGTTTCTTGTCGAAGCCTTGGTAATTCTTCATGTTGAGGGTCATTTTGCACACCTCGCAGCTGAAACATCCTTTATGCCAGTACTGTGAAGAATGGATGGAGAGAAAGAGATGGAGGGAGAGAGAGATGCACGGATGGAGAAAGAGAGAGGTAGAGAGGTGGAAGAAGAGAGGGAGCGGGGAGAGACGGGGAATATTAGGGTAAAATAGCAAAATTACATGATTTAGGACTAGTGTCACGACTCGAGTATGACTAAATCTATGACTGTTGGAATGTTTGGCCAATGGGAAAATCAAATCCAAGTGTAATGGTGAATTAAATGTAATCTGCAATGACAGCATGGGAAAATTCCATTCTTCTAATATTAAAGCACAGCTGCACCGCTGTTCCATGACTCACAAAACCACCATATCCTCCTGACCCGTGTGGCCTCGGAGTTTTCAGACTTGATTTAGAAAAATCAGTAAAGCAAGTGTAAAATATATTTGGAGGGATTTTTGTGTATTGTGACACTATCAGCACAGTATATGCTCTCTATGGGTTTTCTGCTTTCAACATTCCAGATTTGACACCCACCCACCCACACACACACATACACACACATACAGAGAATAACAATAACCAAAAACCGTATCTGTTAGAAAAGCACATGCCACAAACCTCAAGTGTTTGAAAATAGACATGACATGCTCTTGGGCAGGGCTATGACAAATGCAATGAGCTTCACACACACACAACACAATTATGTTCATACTATTCACAATACCAGGGTTATTGACACCATGTTGTAGATCTACAGAGGGACATATTGATTTGTTTAGCTTCCAATTCACTGGTCATGTAAAGAGGAGAATTTATGTCTAGCTTGTCATGCACACCCTGCAGTTGTAATTGCATGTTACAGCCTATTACAACATGAATCAGCTCCAAAACAGGGGATTAAAATGTAACATGGTGGAAATGGTATTATTATATATGGACTGGATACATTTAGCCAGAGCTGGATAGATAAGCAATACTACCCACATCAGACAATGTTATTATAGGCTAGCCTATCCATTGTACATTTTTCCAAAAGACTAAGTCTAATGTAAACAGACATTGGCAGAATGTAGGCTATTATTGACACAGCAAAACTTATGAACTTGTAGTGCAACTAGATCATTTATCATTCATTGCTTTATTTGGCAATTCCCTGTTATCAGCAGCCACCCATGCACCCAAAATGCGCTTGCACAAAGAAGATAGCTAACTCCCTCAATCTAGTTTATTCTATTCTGTGAATATGCGTAAACCATAATGCGCTCGAATCATTCCTTACCTTGTCTAGACAATTCACTTTTTCCGTGGGGTAAACCATTTTACTGCATCTTCCACATAACGGATTCATGGCGAAAGGGAATCTCCTGTTTCAGAAATAACGGGACGCAATGAAATTAATATTCTGGTGTAGGACTATTGAAGTGAGCCTATCCAAAAGATCGCCAGGTAAATCGGCAGATATTCCAAATTCCAACAGTCAGTTTTTTGACAGCGCACAATTCTTCATAGGCGCGCGCGTTCACGAAATTGATTCAATGAAAAGTCGGTCATGAGGCGAGAGGGAGAGGCTTATTTTCGGAGAGCGGAGAGGGAAGGCGGTACCACTATAATGATGTAGAACCTTCAAGCAGACAATTTGCTCCGTAATAACCTTATAAGGAGTACAGCAGATGTGTCTTGTATTTGCTGTTATAACCAACATTGGCGCATGTATGGTTATGGTATTCAAGTAATTCGCAACTTTAGGGGTAGGCCTACTGAAGTTGCAATCCTGGATGAGTGTGCCAAGTGCTAGGGCGTTGCAGTAACTTCAACATGTACGTAGGAGCTAGGCAAATAACCATCAGAGAAATAAAACAAACTTAGTCAGAGAACAATGGTGCCATGTGTTAACCATTATTGAAGAAGAAAATGACAAAAATGACATTAAAAAAGTACATACATAAATACACAATTATAGAAACAAGAAATGTGTTACCCGCTATTATTTTGTGGTGAATTAGATAAAGCCTGGAATGGTTTGATCGGCCTACTGTTAAATTGAGAACATGCTCCTTTGGTGTCATGGCAGCGATTTACATTGCCACGTATTTACATTGTCACATATCCGAGATTTTCCTTGCTGGAAGATGTGTTTAGAAATATTTTAGCCTTGGCTGCTTATCTTAATGAAACACATTACTATTAAAACACCTTAGTGCTACAACAGCAAAGGCGATGGTGGGGTAGACTACATATTCTGTTAAATCTGTATGGTGTTTGTTAATGGGGGTATAGCTCAGTGGTAGAGCATTTGACTGCAGATCAAGAGGTCCCCGGTTCAAATCCAGGTGCCCCCTCATTTTGGCTTTGCATATTTTATTACTAGCATATTGATTGCTTGTAATAGTTTTTCACACATCATAATATTTATTCAATATTGGTATCCTGAATCAGATGTATATGGTAGACATGTATGGCAGGGCAGTAATGCAGCACAAATGGGAGTATGTATGGCTTATAGTTATATAGGTGAATAGCTAGACTCTTACCTGGGTCTGCCTTCAGTGTTTTGGGTCATTCCAAGTTATCTGACCCTGCTTTGGAACCCTGGTCAGGATATCGGTCTGAACCTGGTCTTATGGGTCTGCTTCAGTTAACTATAAGCTAGAGATGGAAAGAGGGCAGCCCCATGACAACATGGGCAGCGCCATTTAGGCCTATCTCCATTTAAAAGTAGCACATCTTCAACAGTTGTATTTCTTCTACTTCTATGAGTGTATTGGCAGTTCTTAAACAAACTGAAAAGGCATACTGTCACAAACTGCTGGCCGTATAGTCTAGGCCAGTGGTTCCCAACCAGGGGTACTAGGACCCCTGGGGGTACTTGGCTTATCCACAGGGGGTACTTGAGACCATAAGCTTACTGGTAAAATGCACATGATGGGGACTTCAGGGGTACTCCGGGCAGAGCAAAATTCAGTTGGTGGTACAGTAAGCAAAAAAGGCTGGGAACCACTGGTCTAGGCTACTATAGGAATAAAGCCACATTTGGTGATTTGCTGCTACATGCAGTGCTAGAGCAGCAGAGGCCACTCTGGACATTTGAGGTTCTTGTGGACTATATTGTCTAAAAATCAACATTACAAAGGGCACTTTTTAAATAGTTAGGTTTATATTTTTAATTATCCATAAATGGATGTAAAGAAATGGTATTCCTAATGTTAACACTACTCATATTAAAGAGCACATGGTAAGGTTTCAAATGGCATCAAAGACTGGCTTTGTAGGATCTACAGACGAATTGTTGTAGTGCATTAGAGCCCAGGGTAAGGCCAAAATGTAACAACCTTAATTATTTCTCTAATAATTTTGGATACAGATTTCAAATGCATGCCAAACCTTCCCCCAAACAAACTTTATATGGATTTAATTTCAGGAATATCCAAAACATCATATCTATCTTTGGGCCAAACTGGCATGGAATGCCCCAGTAAGAGGCCAGACACACCAGACAGGACTTGACAGCTTTCTGCTTTCTCCCAGGGCAGAAATCACACTTCACATCTCCAGGTCCAGCTTAGCCAGAATTCTTTCGACCCGAGGTGCAGCTGTAGGTACATCTTTAAACCCTACAGGTCCCCACTCAGCACGCAACGTTGAATTATGGGCGATATCAGTTCTGTCAGTCACGGCCGTTATTTCACCCCAAAATAGTATTTAGTCTGTCCGTTTTGGCCCAAATATAGCTGAAGATCAGTCTGACCGCTAGCTTGCTGTACTCATCGAACACGAGATCCATGAAAAATAATAATATATTGCATAGCCTATATTGATTGAATTATGGCAGCTTCATGGAAATATCCACATAAAAATAAAATGTAAAAATCAACACATTTAGCTTGTCAAATGTTGTGACATAGGCAGAATATGACTGAAAATGTCCTGTAATCTTATTGGTACACAATTTAACTGAATTTATTGCTATTTGAATTCATTATTTTAACCGCCATTTGCTTCTGTAACATACAGTCCTGTGCAAGTGCTCAGGGGACAACTGAGTGCATCGTCAGAGCAATGCATCCCTATTCTGCAAAGTAGGTCAATAAAAGCAACATCTGATGTAAATCATCGGCTATGTCTTCATGCAACAACCCGGAATAGTTGTTTTAGGTCTGTTTAATATAAAAAGTGTAATATGTGAATGTAAATGCATTGCTTTTTCTTTGTACAAAGAATTGTTTTCCAACACTGTCATAAATATGCCTTTGGTTTAAAGTAAACCTCAAAGTAAAGAAATGACTGTTTTCTGGATATTGTCTCTATTGAAGAGGATGTGCATTACAATGGCAAATGCAACCATGTCAACAACAAACTTTTACACACGCTAGCAATTGGTTTATAATTTAGGACATATTTACTTCAATTAGAATAAAATGGAGGTCTTTGTACAACATTTACACAAAATAAGCAATAATATGTACAGTTATATACAACAATGTATGCATTAATACATACAATACAAATCTAAACAGTCCAAACCACTTCCATTAACGGAAATAGATTATCAGGGAAGAAAAAAAAAAAACTTTGGTAGGGCAGGTCCCTGCCATTCCAGGGAAGCCGATGTGAGGACTGTTGGGGCCCTGCTTCAGCGGCTGGTGGCAGAACCTGCACAGACGGACGGAGGGTTGCTGCTCTGAGGAAGGTTTATTTTTTTTCTTTCTTCAGTTCTTCCTCACTGCCCACTCTGCTTTGAGGCCTCCAGCTCCCATTGAAAGAACTCCTCAAATTGCATTCTTGAATTGGTGAGGCCTTCTGCTGCGTAAGTCTGGGAGAATATTTTAGAGCCGTAGAAGTACTTTACCTGAAGGAGCCATCACCAAGGTAGCGGGACCTTGGCTGGCCACACACTAGACAGTTCCTTGTTTTTAGTTTTTTGCTGTTGCTTATCCAAGATTTCGTTCACCATCTTCTCGACTGCACCCTGGGTCACAGGGGCATCCTGGGGCGGACCCACCGCTAGTGGGTTTACTGGAGCAGGTGGCAGGGGTATGACTGGGACACTGTCCATTTCGCTCTCTGCAGTAAGGCGCTGCCACAGTTCTGGTGTCTCCAGGAGCTTCTCTGGGCTGGTGCTATGAACTGAGCTCGTGTTCTTGCGCTTGGCCAGATGTTTCACATACCTGGAGATATGTTGCCTTGTGGTAGGATGCTGGAGGCTGTTTGGGTCAGTGCATGTACTCTGCACCAGGCCAGCATTATCCTCAACCACCCACTTCAGGATGTCTTTTGCCACATGGTGCTTGGCCAGTAGCCCATCAATGGCAGCTCTCATGGGCTCTCTACATCGGCCGTGGTCAAAGACAAA